GGAAACATAATAGTCCACAAGAATTCCTGTTTGTCCTTATTATCTTATTAGTCTGTCAGTCACCAGAACAAACAAGAAGGGGCTCAGAGCCCATCCTTGCTGTCATCCCACCACCACCTGTCTCTCCTATATTTCACCCATCCTGTTGTCGTTATGCATGTCCTGCTGTCTACATACTGTACATGTGCTGCACCAGTCTAACTCCTGATGTTCTCATACAACACCACGGCTTCTCCTCAAATATGTTTTTTTTTTTATAAATCCAAACAGACACGATGATTTTCTTTCTGACCCTCTCTGTTCTTCTCCATCAACATCCTCTTAGTCAATATGGTGTTTGTGGTGTTCTGTCCTGGAATGAAACCATCCTGCTGCTCAATCCTCTTGTCTCAAGCTTCCACATCTGTCTCCCAGATCTTCATATTGTTGCTCATCAACAACTGTGGCGGAGTGGTTAGGGGAGTCGTCCTGGAACCGGAAGGTTGCTGGTTTGATCCCCCGTCCAGTCGTTGTGTCATTGGACAAGACACTTCACCCACCTTGTCTACTGATGATGGTCAGAGGGTCCGGTGGCGCCGGTGCATGGCAGCCCCACCTCTGTCAGTGTGCCCCAGGGCAGCTGTGGCTACAGTGTCGTTTGCCATTATTAGTGTGTGAATGTGAGTGTGAATGGGTGAATGTCTGTTAGTGTAAAGCGCTTTCGGGTCCGGAGGGACTTGAAAAGCGCTGTATAAGTTCAGTACCATTTACCATTTAATTCCTCTGTGGTTGATATTTTCTCACTTTAAAAAATGCCATCAAATAATGGAGTGAGAAAGCTCACAGGCATCTCTCCTAGATGCTTCCATCCCTACTCTGGTGTCATTAGGTTCAACTCTCTTCAGCCTTCTTCATCCTCTTCACAGCTTTCTGAACATCATCCTCACTAATCTTTCCCACTTCTTGGTTAACAGTTTCTATGACGTCTACTCATCTTTCTCTTTCAATCTCTTCATTCATTAGCTCCTCAAAGTTCTCCTCCCATCTTCCCTTCACTCTCCTCACCTGTTAGAACATTAATCTCAATCTTTAACAAGTCTAACCTGCTGCTCATCCTTTCCATCTTGCTGTCTCACCAGTAAATACAAATCCTTCTGGTCCTCCTTATTGTCCAGACTGACTGACCACACTCTCCCCTGCCATAACCTCACAGTCCTCACTCTCTCTTGGGTTTCCTCTTCTACACAGAATGTAGTCTACCTGTRTCCTSCTGCCTCCATTCTTGTAGGTCACCCTGTGTTCCTCCCTCTTTTGGAAATAGGTACTAACTGTGGCTATTTCATCCACTTGATAAAATCTACCATCTGTCCTTCTTGGTTCTTTTCCTTCACACCCAACCTGTCCATCACTTCCTCGTCTCCTCTGTTTTCTTCACAAATATGGCCATTCAGCTCTGCTCTGATCACCACCCTCTCTCCCCTGGGATTACTCTCTATCACTTCATCTAGATCCTTCCAGATTTTCTCTTTCTCATTTATCTCACATCCAACCTGTGGAACAGAACCACTGATAGCATCAGACCTTTTACTTCTATATTCAGACACATCACCCTATTTGACACACTTTATATTTTTGTTTCTTTTGATAACTTTGTTTCCCCTTCTTAACCACAGAAACTATCGCTCCCGCTTTGCTTTTTCATGGAAAATAAGCAGAGCAGTGGGGTACAGCAGCTCAGGGGGAATGGGGAGAGGGGTTTCCGCTTGACAAAATACATGGTTCCGCCCATGCAATGTGATGATGTCATCACCTATGTAGCATTTTCCTGCATAAAAATTATAATTTCTGATTAGATTTCACGTGTTCCTATGACAACGGCTCAAAAAGTAAGAAAACACCCACTTTGACTTCAGACTGTTTCTAAAGACTTTTGCATGGAACTTCCTTTGTGGCTCGAATTAACATCTCTCACACAAACCCCCACCAGACGTCCTGACGCCCTACCGTTAATAGATAAGAATTGCCACATTCCTGTTCCGAACCCCACAAGTTCTGTTGCTTCCATCCCCCATAAGCACAAGGCTGTTGGTTCCTCTTCAAAGGGATCATAAATGCCTTTAACCAGACTCTTCGGYGTGACTGAGAAAAAATGAATCTACATTCTTCATTAAATGTGAAAAAAGGAGAAAAGATAAAGGAATCTGTGTATCTAATGTTTTCTTTCTTATTGCAAAGAATGTCATCTAATCCATTTTTCTTACAGAAAAGAACTAAAAAGACCATAAAAGATCTACTACGTTTTGCTTAGTTAACTATTCAACAGCTGTGTGTATTGTTTAATTGTTTACAGATGGACTCCTGAAGTGTGTGTTTTATTCCATGATTTAATCCTTAGAAACTTAGGACTTCAATTTTAATAATTAACTGTGACAATTTTATCCCTGAGGCAAAGCCCAGATAGTTCCTCTCTCCCTTTTAATTAGATGCAAGATAATTAAACTAAAACACTCCCTTTTTCTTTGTCCTGAAGTAAAGTTTTCCCTCCAAAACAGATTTGATTTGTTAAAAAAACTTTTCCTGTATAAGGCGTAACATTTTTATTGGCCAACTAAAACCTTGACTCCACTAAAAACAGAGGTTTTAAAAGTTAGTGCAGCTCCTGACAGAGAGAAGAAGACCGACAGAGAAAGAGAGTTTTTCAACATCCGAAGTCAGAAACAGCTTTTCAGAAGTTTCACCGGAGACTGGCCCTGTCAGCCCCTCCCATGGCTGACCAGGTTATGGGCTCTGCCTCTCCCGCTGGGTTGAACGAACAGCCACTGTTTAATATCGACTCAACATCTGAGTTTGATTTATAGAAGTTAAATAAGCTAATTGTAACTCATTCGTCATTTTAGTTCATTTTCTCTACAAAGTTGAAATCAAATTAAGAAGCCTTGCAGCCACCTAAAGAAGAACGGACCACATTGTCACCAGGGAGTGACCCCCTTCTCTGACCACAGGACCAGTCGAGTTTTACAGGCAGACCGCCTGACATCCAGCTTGCATTAAGAGCCTACCTGGGGAAACGACCCCCAGAGATGACCTTCAAATCGCTGACTTCCTTCATGGTACCCACACAGCGGAACAAAAGGGTAAAAGTGAACATTTGTCCTGGTGACAAACAGGTGCTCAGACGTAATTTGATTCTTATCTTTGGATGAGATTTGATAAACTAAAYGATTTTTCTCCCTAATTTAACTAGGACCCCCTTAGTTAAATCCTCAGCTAAAAGCAAAACTCACCTCACCTCACTCCAAACCTCAAACTCATCTCTCTGTGTTTATTTTATTTGTTTGTTTGTTTGTTTGTTTATTCACTTGTGATTGCAAACTATCACTTTTACCTGGTTCAACATGTCATCATTTATTACTCACCATGATTGTAAATACATTTAATCTGTAAATAAATGGCCCGTGGAGAACTTGCCAACATAAGCTAATGTCGCTTTTGTGTCTTGATAAAGTATTATTGGTTCTGATAAGACAAGGACTCATCAAAACATTTTGGGTACATTTATTGTGAGACTGATTACAATTAAGTTACAGGTTTTCGTCTCTTTCCTGGGTTAATCTTTGATCAAATTAAGAGCGTGGTGCCTCGAGGTCAGATAATTTGCGTATTTAAATAATTCACAAACTATCCATTTTAGAATATACCTAAAACCCCTACACCTACAACATGCGTAATGACGTATTTCCCTACGTGATGGAGTAATAAACGATTCATTTGAACAGCTCTATAAGACAAATGGCTCCACAAGATCCGGATCCCCTCAAAGAGCCATATTTCCCATCCCGTTTTATATTAATTACCCTTTCTAATGCAACCCTGACCATTTACCCAGTCTTGGGGTCAACAGGAGATATGCTGGCTTCTAGTGGCTGGTTTGTTGTTTCAGTATTTTGGCGTTCTCTAAACTGAGAWGGAAACTCATCATGTTTTCAAATTGGCTAGCAGTCATTTAAAAAATGTTTTTTTTTTCTTTTTAGGGATTTTGAATAAATACAGAAAGTTAGAAATTGGTCTATAGTTGGCTAAAATAATGTGTTCAAGTGTTTTTCTTTAACAGTTTGATTAAAGAAAAAACCCAAAAGGTACATATGAAGTTGAAAAGAACAAAATTATCTGGTTAAGAATCAAKGCGGGGATAAAAGATAAAATATCTTTAAAATGTTGAATTAGTAAAGGTCTGATATACAAATAGATGAATTAAAAAAAACATGACAATTGACATTAACTCAATCAACATGAGTAAAACGATGTAAAGCAGACACTGTTCTTCTACATGTTCAGACATCTTATCAGAGTTGAAAATTGAACCAGAAGAAAAGTGAGAAAGTTTAATATTTTCTCTGACAAAATGTTTTTCTTGTCCAAGATTACGTAGGACTCTTTAACTTATAATAAGACATACTGAAACTGTTTTATTAGCATTAAAAACATAATTTATTCTCAGCACAAATCAAAAATCTAAATTAATTTTTAATCACCAAAAATTTTCTTGCAACAGCTTCAATAAAATTAAATTCATTGCTACATCAGATGGTTTAGAACAAAGGTCTGGGAATTGTTAAGTAACCTTTTATACATCAAAAAAGCAAAAACAACCGAGGCTTTTTGCTGTGCATGTCCAATTTTATTTTATTTTAGTTTTTTCAGATAAACAGGAAACTGGACCACCGTCAACTCTGAGATGACCTGCACCGACTAGTCAYGATGTAGCTGCAACGCAGCATAAAYCACTGGTTATCATTACACTTCATATACATTGGACATTTTAGACCTCAACACTCAYCAGTCCTGTCAGAATTAAACTTTTTTTTTCCTAAACCAAGCTTTCTACAACAGAAAAAATAATAATTCTTTCTGAGTTTTTACAGAAACCCATTTCAGTATGACCGGACCTTCCCTTTATTGGACCCTCAGACTAAGGTTTATGTGTTTCAGTGGACAGTGTAGCAGAATGGTGATTGACTCACCATCACCTTGCAGGAAGACCAGCCCCAGAACCATACACAGAGGATGCAGGTTAAACTCCTGAGCCGAGCCATCCCAGGCAAAACCTCCTCTGTAGTGACCCATCCACACCCCGGTTAGCACCACCGACACCAGACCGAGCACCTGCGACGTTGCCACCAGCCCCGCAAATGCAGAGCCACTGTGATGAGGTCCTAAATCCTCCATAGTCTAAGAAGAAACAGAAAATTACAACAGAAATAAATATGACACAGAACAGGACAAGAAGGTTAAAAAACAACAACATTCTCATCCCATATGTTGCTTGGCTTCATTTGAAACATAGCACTGCTCTCAGGGARAAACTGGTTCACTCTAAAGACAAAATAGCCAAAGTGAGTGCTGTGGTGTTTACAGTTCAGTGAATGTTCAGACTGCTACATTGGAAAAACTAAGCAAACTTTCCACAGACACAGTTTAACACAGGAGAAATCACTTTTTAGAACAAGATCCATCTGTGCACCTACACCAAGGATGAAGGACTCTCGTGAGAGCACGTTTCCTCCCCACAAACTATCTGAGCAGACAACCCAATACAGTACAGTGGAAAAGGAGTGTTTGACAATCAGATGGACAGTCAATAGTATTTATTACCTCCTGAAAGAGGTCTTTACTGTCCACATGAGGTCCCGTTCTAGTTCAGGTGGTTGGAATTTGTGAAATTGGGGTGTGATTAAGGTACGGCAAAGGGGAGGTGATGGTTCAGGGAACAACCAGACGGATAGTTTGGATACAATCTGTGGTGTGTTTTCAATCAGGAATATTTTCTTTATTTGCAAATAATGTGCTGAGACCCCCCAAGTGTTTTCTGACAAGAAACATCACAGAGGAGCTAAAATCTGTGTGCATCCTTGGAAAGGGAGAATAAAATAAAACATTTGTATAAAAAATGTGATGTGTGTGTGGGGTGGGGGGTGTGGTGCAYGTTTTTGCCACATCGTGGGAACCATTTTCCAGACAAAGGTAGCCTTGTGGGGACCGATTGTGCTTCGTGGGGACCAATGCCCACAGGCACAGATGCTAATTTCAGGTGGGGTTTTGGTTTAGGACCACAGTGTGAATTGAGTGTAGATTAATTTTAGGGTAAATGGTCAGGGTTAAGCTATAAAATCACCAGAAAACGAATGGCAGTCAATCTACAGTCCCCACAGGGATATAAAAACAAACTTGTGTTTTTGTACTTGTTTGTTATTAGTTTTAGCAAAAGTTTTCCTGAACCACTGGGTGGATTTTAATGAAACACTCAGAAAGCTGTCCTTTGTTGTTTAATTTCAACTATTAAATTATGGAG